TTTAAAACACCTTGCGGCTCCAGGTACCGCACGAGGTGGTCAGTCATCCCGCAGCTCCCGATTCTCACACAGGATGGTCAAATAGCTAAATATAATAAAAAAAAATTAACATAATAAATAATTACATTACTTTTAAAAGTAAATACATTCATTTTGTAAGCAACTAACCTCTTTATATTGAACATTCATAATTTTTTTTTTCAATGCTTATCTATCCCAAAGATCAACCTGTAGAAAAGAAAAAAAATATGTGAGATTGATTTTGAAGCATGATATAAGAAGTAGTTGTCTATACAATAAAAGTGGAGGATATTCACAAAAAATAAAGCTAGTATACTATGAAAATATTCAGTACCAAAGCAACACATATGCATTAAAGCAGCTTAATCAAATAAATTAGAAATTGGATATTTTTGCTTTCTGTTAGTTTTGGGAGTCTTGGCAGAAATTGAATGATTTTTGGTGAAACTTGAGCGTTTAACCCATAAACTCATATGTTTTTAACAAAATTTTGCTTACAATTTTTTAGTAGTTGCTAAATTTTGATAAGAATTCTAACATTAAGGTCCCATTAAATTTCATGTGTATTTTATTATGAAATCCAATTAAACAATATTCTTTGTTTCATACTTTAAATAAATGCAACAATACAAGTTATTTTGATACAGCTTATATTAAGACTGAAAATCCAAATGTTAGAGAATCTTTCCAAATGAATGAAGCCAAGACTTTCTACTTAAGGATTTGCAAAATTTGAAAATCAAAGCAAAAAAATTTGATTAAGGGCTCCAGCAGAAATAAAGTTTTATATAATTTGTCCAAAGCAGTAGGATATAATATCTCAAAGAAAATATGGCATATATATTGTTAACCCATGTAAATAAATACAAATAGGGTTAGTTTACTGCTACTGTTCCGCACACACATGTCACCACATCTGTACCTATTTATACTTGTAAGTACCTCAGACAAGGTAATGAAAATCAGTTCTTATTTCATGTTCTGGTTCTTGCATCTCCGAAGACTCATTCCGCTTGAGCTATCATGGTATCAGAGTACATATAAGTTCTCCTTCCCTTTTCTTCCTCATCTTCTTCTTTCTCCAACCCTACACTCTTTTTTTTCTATCCCTGTTATTTCTTCTTTCTTCTGTTCAAATTATCATGGTTGGATCCTCCACCACTTCTCCCATCCCGAATAGCTCCACCAATCCCTTTTCGTGCATAGAAATACCGCCCCAACTCAAGTTTGTTCTCATCAACATCAGAACTTGGTTTCCAATCCTCTAACTGCAGATAACTACTCATTATGGAAATCACAAGTTGAGAAAATCTTTGTTGCCAATGGCTTCAAAGGATTTCTTGATGGGTCTCACAAACCGCCCAATGCCGAAGACCCATCTTTCGAAACCTGGAATCATCTCGATCAAAACCTCTCTGCTGCCTTCCTATCCATCATCACACCTTCAATTCTACCCTACGTTTTATCCCTAAATCACTGCACCAACATTTAGGTGACTCTCACCCATCGGCTGCAAGCTTCGGCTCTTTCTCGCATAATCCAATTAAAGAACGAACTCCATCATCTCTCCAAAGGCAAGCGATCCATGTCACAATACCTTCTCACCGTCAAATCCAAAATCGATGCGATCTCCATAGCAGGAAGCACCATAGACCCGGAGGACGTAATTCTTTACACGCTCAACGGCTTACCCGCCTCGTATCATGCCTTCAAAACCGCTATTCACACCAATATGCAACCCATAAATCTTGATGATCTTTACACACTTCTTTGTAGCGAAGAAGTTAATCTCGCCCAAGAAACCTCTAAAGAATTTCAATCTCTTCATCTCACCGATAACTCTGTCGCCCTCGATGCTACCCGTGGCCGGGGTCGCAGGCAAAATAAAATCAATCGCGCTCGATCCTCTGCTTGCAACAATTGACCAGCCACTATTCCTGACCGAATGAAAAAACAACAATACAAAAATATCATTTGCCAAATCTGTGCAAAGAGAGGCCACTCCGCCATGAAATGTTGGTACGGTCACTTCATTTGACTTCTTATGTAGATTCAGATTGGGTCGGTGATCAACAGGACCGCAAATCAACAACAGGATATTGCACCTTTCTTGGCTCTTCACCCATATCTTAGACAGTTAAGAAACAGAATACCATTGCTCGATCATCCACCGAGGCGGAATACCGTGCCTTAGCAACAGCTGCAAATGATCTAATATGGATTCACCAACTCCTTCAAGAACTCAGATGCCCTCAATCCGACTCAACCAACCTATTCTACTATAACACATCGGCCATCGCTCTCGCCAACAACCCAGTCTTTCACGCACGCACCAAGCACATTGAAGTCAACTGTCACTTGATCCGTGAGTGCATTAAGAACTAGATAATCCAGGTCCATCATATCTCCACCAAAGATCAGATCGCAGACATCTTCACCAAAGATCTATCCATGGCTCGGTTTCAGAATATACTACCCAAATTAATATCGTCCTTTGACTCATTAGCTTGTAAGGGGGTGTTAACCCATGTAAATAAATACAAATAGATGTAGTTTACTGCTGTTGTTTTGCACACACATCTCACCACATATGTACCTATTTATACTTGTAAGTACCTCAGACAAGGTTGATACGTCCTCAAAAAATTATTTGGATCAGGCACGAATCTCGATGCAAAATCAAGCTGGAAACTTCAAAAAATTAATTCGGAGACCATCCAAACTCAGATTTCAGTGAACTTATAGTCAAACTGAGCGTCTCAGAAATACGAATCCAACGACACCAAATTCGACTCAATCCGACCCCAAATGAGTCCAAATCAAGGACCCGAAGCGCTATTAGAAAGTTCAAACCACAATTTGAGTTACCAAACGGTCTTTGATTTTAACGAGCTTATACTCGAATAGAACGGCTCGACGAGACAAATCCAACGAGCCTAAGATCACCGAATTCTGAAATCACTAATGCCCTCAAATGTTCAACGAACCGTGCATGACTATAGGATTCAACATCGGCCTTCCATTCGATCACTCCATATTCGCCCTTGATCTCACGCCTATTTACGAGCCATGCCACTCCAGAAAATATATATATAGAGCCCTCATTTCTCATGAGGGGGGTCCAAGCAAGAAGAGAAGAGGAGAAGATAAGGAAGAGGAGAAGGAAGAGAAAGAAGAAGCTCCTCCTTGACCACCGCCGAAACCTCGCCGGACCACCGCAGGAGCCTCGCCGGACCACCGCAGGAGCCTCGCCGGACCACCGTCGGATCCTCGACGGACCACCGCCGGAGCCTCACCGAACTACCGTCGGAGCCTCGCCGGAATTTTGCTGCACCACCATCTCAAGGCCTGACGTTCATGCCCGATGTTCAGGCCCGACGTTCAGGCCCGATGTTCAGGCCCGTCGACGTTCAGGCCCGACGTTCTACTGAAGGCCCGACATTCAGGCCCGACGTTCTGCTGAAGGCCCAATGTTCTGCTCAAGGCCCAACTTTCAGGCCTGACGTCTTCATCTGAGGCCCTCACCTTCTCCAGAGGCCTTCACCTTCGTCAGAGGCCCTAACCTTCGCAAGAGGTCCTCACTTTTACCAGAGGCCCTCACCTTTGCCAGAGGCCCTTGTCTTCGCTAGATTATCATCAAAGGCCGCGTGCTCCACCAGAACATCATATGAGGCCAAGACTTTTTCCGTACCACTACTTGAGGCCTTGAGCTCCACCAGGCCACCACCTGATGCCCATAGTTCTCCCAGAATACTGCCGACTACGGTCCTTTCGACCTCCGTCGCCTACTATGGTCCTTCCGACCTTCATCAACAAACAACGGTCTTTCTAACCCCGGTCTTGCCGACTACGGTCATTTCGACCTCCGTCGCCTACTGTGGTCCTTCCGACCTCCATCAACAAACAACGATATTTCTGACCCCGGTCTCCTGCCGACTACGGTCCTTCCGACCAAACAAATATGTATATGTAACTCCTACCATGTGATGCAATCTATATGATGTATATTTGCTACATCAATACAAGGCCTTCTCCAAAGAAGGGGCTCATTTGTAATCGACTGCAAATACTAGTGGATTCATTCAAACTGGGTCAGGCCCCGTGGTTTTTCCCCCTTTTCAGGGGTTTTCCACGTAAAAACTCTGGTGTCTCTTATGAATGTTTCACCCCCTCTCTTATCAGCTTGTGTGCTGGATCTTCGTACAATGCTAAGACGTTAAACCATATATTTCTCTACCGCCGCGAATATTCCAGGACGCAACAAAGGTAATGAAAATCAGTTCTTATTTCTTGTTCTGGTTCTTGCATCTCCGAAGACTCATTTCGCTTGATCTATCAGATATAAGTGAAAATAGCTTAATAGGAATGGACGAACGTCATACGCGATCGAGAAGCAGTGGCACCAGGTCAAAAAATACAACTTACATGTTGTCAACAATGTTGACTACATTATACACATGAACAAATGATAGCGGCACTACACTCTCCTTGTCGCCGAGTTCGCCAATCGGGAGCCCTAGTGGGGAGACGAACGACATAATGCCACAAAAGAGCAATTGTGAGATATGAGTTACGACGGCCTATTCTTATGTCTTTAGGTTTTATCATGCACTTTTTGCTCTCCATTTTATTTACAGTCAAAGGATCAAATCTTCCGTTTTTTGAACCGGCTAGTTTTATGGTTTGTCGGTCTAACTGGTCGGGCACCCGGTTTTTTCCGAATTCGCTTCGGAACCGGTTCAATGAATTAGCAAAACCGACCGACCGATTGATTCAAGGTTCAACCGGTTGAGCCGATCGATCCGATTCCATTCGATTTTCTAAATCTTAAATTTTATATCATGCCATACGAAATAATATAAAATATGCTAATTTCTTTGACTTTAAAAAAAATGTTCCGAATTGCTGATTGAAATTAAAAGATTCCGTTGCAGTGGACCCTAATCTGCTTATCGTTTAATGCAAATCTCGCCCGCTCATCCTGACTCCCGGCTTTCTCTTATCCTCTCGTCGGCTCTGAGTCCCGCTACATGCGTCGACCTCCCGTCTCTCTCTCTCTTTCCACTCACGTGCCCCTCCTTAAATGTGGATTTGTTCGCATTCTTTTCTACTAGGATGCTTTCTCTGTGCGCCGACGTATCAGGTGTTCCCTCCTGTGTTTGATAATTTGATTCAAGGACTGATCTTCCAGCTTCTCGCCGGCATAATACTTACTGAAGGATCACTCCTTTTCCGCTATAATAATCGTGGTCAGCTATGGCGTGGAGAAGCGGCTGATTGCTTCCGAGAAGGGTAGCTCTAAACAGTGTTTCCGAAGAGGAAGAGAGAGGTGAGATGGACAAGTATGAGGTAGTGAAGGAACTCGGGTCCGGCAACTTCGGCGTGGCGAGGCTGATGCGGCACAAGGAGGCGAAGGAACTCGTTGCCATGAAGTATATTCCAAGAGGCCAGAAGGTAACTTTTCGTCATGGTCTAGGGTTCTTATGGTACGATCTTACACTTTTTGTTGTTCTCTTCTAGATCGACGAGAACGTTGCAAGGGAGATCATTAATCATCGCGCTCTCCGGCACCCCAACATTATTCGATTCAAAGAGGTAGGATCTTTCTTTGGACAGCGATTCTTTTATGGTTTTTGAGTCTGGCAGCACATTATCTCTAGTTCGTCTCGAATTGTTGGCTTTTGTTGGTTGGTAGGTAGTGTTGACGACGACGCACCTCGCGATCATCATGGAGTACGCCGCCGGTGGAGAGCTCTTCGAGCGGATCTGTAACGCCGGGAGATTCAGCGAGGATGAAGTATTTCCTGAAATTTTATCCCCTAATCCCATAATTTTTATCCCTAATATCAATTGTTTTTCTATTAATCCCTCTTTACTTAATTGTTTTATATTTAGGCGAGATATTTCTTCCAACAACTCATCTCTGGCGTCAGCTACTGCCACTTCTTGGTAAATCTCTCCTTATATAACAAAAAAAAAAAAAAAAAATGTACCCTGTTATAAAAAAAAAAAAAAAAAAGATATCGTTTGTCGGTTTGGTTGAATTATTTTAAATTGATTGATTCAGCAAATATGCCACCGTGATCTCAAGCTAGAGAACACTCTTCTCGATGGAAATCCAGCGCCGCGGCTCAAAATCTGCGACTTTGGCTACTCCAAGGTTTTTTTTTTTTATCCTGAAAATTTGGTTTTCATTGTGCTGCTCTCGAAGCTTACTAAAGACACAGCACAAAACATTTTTGTGAGCAGTCGTCCTTACTGCACTCGAGGCCGAAGTCTACAGTTGGCACGCCGGCGTACATCGCGCCGGAGGTCCTCTCCCGCCGGGAGTACGACGGCAAGGTGGGCAAAACCTTTTATGAAGTTTTATTAAATTTGTACGTTTTTGCACCCGGACTGCTCATCATGTTGTAATTTTTTTAGGGGGATTTACAGACAGTTCACTGAATCTTTTTCTATTTGCATATCTATCATTTCATAAACATTCATTAATTTAAATCACATAAAAATTATACTAATAATAATGTATAAAATAAATAACATATTTTTATGTATTTTGCTTTGATGTATTTTTAACACTAAAATAATTTATAAATAAATATATAAATTTTGATGTTGGATATATAAATATTTAAAAATTTATGATAAATATGTAAATTTCTCATTATTTAGTAAAATTATTATATTTATGACGCTTATAAAGAGGCTTATAGTCTGATATTAATATTGATTTTTAACTGTATTCAATCAAATGAAGATTCTAATAAATTTCATAATTTTTAATATTATATTCTGTCTTCAAAAAATAAAACGAGCCTTAAGATCTGGCACGTGTGATCTGCTGATTGATGTATTGCACGGGTCAGACCGTCTTTAATAATAGTGCTTTACTGCCAAGTCAATATTTCTGCTGGGTTCATTGCTTGCAGAGTTTGCATTTCTAATTTTAAGTCTTTTTTCACTATGGACCCATTACAACTATTTTGTACCAAAGTGGATTCCTTTTTTTTGTCAGCTACGATGGTGATTGATGTTCTGGTGAATATCTTTTTCATTAATTAGACATTATTAATCTTTGTATACTGGTCATTGGATTATTGATAAGCACTTCTGATTTAAGCACTTGGATCCTGGCTGCTTCCTCTATTTATCTTATCTGGGGTTAGAAATCTGTCAAACTTACAGGTAGCCTGATTCTGCATGTGAATTTCAATTTGTTAATGAGTGATTAAGCTTTGATCAGTGTTTTTTTCTGGTAATTTCAAACGAAACTGTAGTCATTACTCAGTAGCCATGCCAAGCTTGGAGCCAAAGCCATTGTTTAATTACTGGGCTACCAGGAGATCCTTATGTTTGTTTGGATTTTGGCTTTTGTTTTTAACTAAAGCAAAAATTATTTGGTGTCCCTATTGATTCTAATATAGTTTGAGCTATAAAATTTGCTTGGGAATCACATAAATATTTCTGAAATTCCAGTTAGTAATGTTTCCTTTTTTTTTTTCTAGATTGCATCTAAAACATCCCCGCATAGTGGGATAAAAACTTGATATTGTTGTTGTCAAAAACATATTTGATTTCTGATAGGAAACACTTGGAGATTTCAAGTAAATCCTATAAATTTCAGAAAATCAGCTAGAACTTCTTCTAAACTCCAAAAGAAAACCAGAAAAATAGTAATGTTATTGCAAGAATCAAATAGATCGGAAGAAAACAAGATAAAAGTGATCCTGTATTCGAGAGAAGGATCGATCTCTCCCAATCTCTAGACGAATCTAGAGCCCAAAATCTAAACCTAAGAGATCCCAAAATCAACCAAATTTAAGATGCCCTAACCCTAGGAAAGCAAACTATTTAATACATACCAATCAAAAGGAAATCCCTAAACGGTCCTTACATTCAAATTTCCCTCCCAATTCCCTCAAAAATCCTTCCTAAATAGCGTTTTCCAGTCGAGCAGTCGGATCGCGTGTGCAGGAGGCAGACATTTCCGCTGTTTCGCCCGTAAGCCGGTCCCGCCTTGACCGGTTGGACCAGTCCGTTGGACTGGTCTTACAATTTCCCATCCTGTTTTCAAAGTTTCAGTGGTCATGATTGTGACGTTGTTGTTGCTTTTAATAGGTAATCATCAATCATGCAGCTGATATCTGTTTGTGCTGTAGCAAACCTGATTGATGGATAATGCAGAATTTTCCTCCATTTTAAAAAAGAAGAAACAATTAACAGACACGATCTAGAGGAATAATTTTGTTGTTCTTAGGGAAATAGTTGGAAGAATATTTTGTTCTTGTTGTTTCCTTCGGCTTGAATTTATATTGATGCAAGTTCGGTAAGTTCTGAGGAATGGATTTTTTGATGCTGCAGCTTGCAGATGTCTGGTCCTGTGGGGTAACTCTGTATGTTATGCTGGTGGGAGCTTACCCATTTGAGGATCCAGATGACCCCAAAAACTTCAGAAAAACTATTGGAGTAAAGCCTCGAGGCCATGCTAATGCTAATTCTTTCTCTTTTTTAAAAAGCATAACTTTCCATGAACTTGGAAACATCTTCAAGCATGTGAAAACTAATTTGGCGCTGTTGGTGCACAAATAAACTGTACTGATTTGAATTTTATTGGAATACAGAGAATAGTGGCAGTTCAGTACAAGATACCTGATCATATCCACATATCACAGGACTGCAGGCATCTCCTCTCCCGCATCTTTGTTGCCAACCCAACTAAGGTACGTGAATCAACTATTAAATTGAATAAGCATTTTACCAACATTGAATGCAAACCTTACCGAATTTATTACCAATAATATCACAATGGTCCTCCCACGGGGTTGTTCTTTTGCTTTGGAATTTAAAAAAAATATAAGTATCTCACTTCTAAACAAAAGCTGTTACTGCAGTTCAATTGAGTGTTGAATGATGACTCACCATTAGGCATCATAATGCAACTAATATGATAAGTGGTATGCTTTCTTGCAAAGAAAAATTCAAGGATCAGAGGATCAAAAGTTACTAATCAAATCCAACAACTCACTTTCTTGAAGTAGAAATAACCAACAGTATCTCTAATATTGAAGGGCTTGCACTATAATACAAAATCCCATATCTTAATTTAGACATTTCGAAGTCTCATTTAATTTTAATAAAGTATGTCATGGGATTCCTTTGATTCAATAGTTCTCCATTACCTGCTCGAAACGCATGATAAGAAACTTCAAACATCTTATTAAAATTAGTAACTTAGCAAATGTCCAACGATAAGTCTCTCTTTGATTTCAGTAAAATTACAATGAACAGATCTATACTTAAATTTCTTTTTTATTTTCTAGAAAACTTTGTAATTGGAGTCATAATAGTACTAAACATCATGATAACCATGAAAACGTTGAATATCATGTATATTGTTTAGTTTTTTTTGCCAATTGATAATTTCTTGAACTTTACCAGAATCAATATATAATTCATTCTTAGGCAAGGTTTTAAATGGCGAAATCGGGAATCGAGGCGTTTTTTCTAAGCGAGTCGAGGCCTAAGCCTCGAGGCGGATTGAGGCATAAGCCTCAAAACGATTAAAATAAATTAATTTAAAATTATAAATAATGATAAAAAATAATAAAATATTATGTCAACTATGAATTTGAAGATTTGTTTTAAGATAATATCACTGGAATACAAGATTTAAAATAAACTCACTTAAAAATAAAACATCCCCTTAGGATCAAGACCTAAACCAGACTCATTATCACTTTGATTGTCTTCAGAAGAATCTTCATGATTAATGTCAAAGTCATTCTCAAACTCTTCTTCATCTATAATATTTTTTCCTTTATCTCCTATATCAGTTAATATTTCATTAGCTCTAAAATGAAACAATAGTAACATACAAAATAATTCATTATATTTAAGAATACCTTTGAATTTTTTTGAAGCTCCAATCTCACTTTGTTTCTTTCTTTTATATACTTAGGTAGTTGCTTTATTGTCTTCTTCATTGACATGAGTTTCTCCTTATGCTTCAACTTTAGAAACATCAGCATTCTTAGGAGTAACCCATTCATCATCAGATTGTAACTCATCAACAAGCAAATGGTCAATTTCATTCTCAATATTTCCTTGATTTTGCAATTTGAGATGTCTATCTTTCAGTTTTTTGTTAAACATAACATAAACTAGTTAGTTCATTCGATTTGTCGCCAATCGATTTCTTCTCTTTGTATGAATTTGATTGAAGATACTCCAATTACGCTCGCATGCAGAAGCCGAACACGTTAGGTTAAGAACTTTAACTGTAAAAGCTTTCAATTTAGGAAAATCATCTCCAAACTAAGCCCAATGTTCTACATGAAGACAAACATAGTATTATATGCATATTGGTTGAAGTAGATGACTTGAATATAAATATTAACATTAAAATTATAAATACACAAACTATAAACATACCAGGAGATCGTGTTTTGTAGCATGCTTATGCTGCTCTAAATCCAAACATTACTTTCTTCAAATGAAAATCCTTAAATTTATCATTCATTTTGAGGTAGTCTTCTTCAGAAATGAATCTGTCCATACATGCATATAAACTAGTTTTCACCTCTTTGTCAATATGAAAATCCTTATCATAATGAAATTGAGGGTTTAAATAGTACACAGCACCATGTAAGTGTTGGTGTAATTGTCGACCCCACTTTTCATCTATAATATCCTATATTTCTTTGTAGGCACTTTCTTGACCTCCCAATTCTTTTGCAATGTCTTCTTTAGCTCTATTTATTGCTTTATAAATAAATCTCATAGCTGGGGCCCTTTCACCATCAACCATTCTAAGCACTTTTACTAATGGTCATATTGTCTTCAAAGCATAATTTGTACTGGGCCAAAATGAATCGTCTTTCATAACAATCTTTTTAACTTGTTTTCCTTTTTGTTTTTTGGCCCATGAACTTTTATCCCACTGTTCAGAAGCAAACAATTCTTCCAAAGGTTGTCTTAACTCCTTGAATCTTTGCAATGTTAAATATGCAGTAGTAAATCTTGTAACAACAGGTCTAATAATTTCCTTGTCAATGAATTTTCTCATCAAGCTGAGTACCCAATAATGATTGTATATAAACTTACTAACGTATTTGGCCTTCAATATGACTGATTAATGTTGAGGCAACTGTCCCAAACTCTCAAGCATCAAGTCAATACAATGTGCAGCACAAGGAGTCCAGTAAAGGTGAGACCTCTTCTCCATTAACATTCTCCCTGCAGCTTTCTATGCACTTTCATTATTAGTAACAACCTGTACTACTAAGGCATCTCCCACTTTCTCTAACATTTCAAGCAATAATTGTGCATCCTTTATAAAGCTTGAAACATATATTGATTTGAGAAAAACTGTTCCATATGGATTGTTGACCAAAAATTAATGATACTTCTGTGTCGAATATCTAACAAACCATCTGACATTATTGTCACTCATGTCTCAATCCAAGTCTTCTTAATATCATCCACTATTGTTGAAGTTGTCTTAACCTCCTCATTCAGCATCCAAGTCCTCAGCTCTTACATGCTTGGAAGTTGTAGTCCTCTTCCATAGCTTCCAACGGATTGTAACATATTGATCCATGACGGACTCCTAACAACATTAAATGGAATCCCATTTTCATAAATAAATCTGGCGATATCCAAACAAACTCTGTTCCTGAGTTCTTTTGTAGCTGTAGGAGGTTGAAGATCCTAAGTGTTTATGTTATCATCGTCATCAATATTTATCATAAATCTATCCATAGGATCCCGAGTGCCTCGGTTAGAAGAAACTATATGGCTTCCACTAATGGAACCTTCATGCTGTGATCCATAGTAACAAGAGTTTCCTTATCATCTATTCTATATTTCTTTGTGTGACCTCCGTTGTGGTGGCAAATTTCTTTGAATAATCTGTACATTCCTTTTTCACCTCATCAGGTACTTTTGCACATGGTCCCACATTGACATGAGTGTAGGCTAGATGATCCTTCAACCTCTTGATGCCACCAGTTATGTGTTTCTCACAGAAATTACATTTCATATAAACATATCCTTTCTTTGCACCTTTGCCTGACGCTTCAACTTGAGTTCCATATTTTCATGCAGGATCTTTTCTTCTTGTGCCACTAGTCATGCTAATGATTTATAGAAATAAATAATCAATATCAAATAGGACAGATTTTAATAATTATTTGTATTACCAATAATAAGATAACATGAATACAATAAAATTTTATTACAAGAGTAATTTTGAAATTCTTTCTTGTTGAATATGCTCAATACTGAGAGGTACCGAGCATGTACTGTTCGGTACCGAGCGGTATTGGCTTGGTACCGAGCGTGTACCTAGTGGTGCCGAGCATGTACTGCTCAGTACCGGGCATATACTTATTCGGTACCGAGCGGTACTGGCTCGATACCGAACATGTACCTTCTCTTCCGATCTAACCGAGGCCTGAACGTTTCCTGCACTCACAACTTTGGCTTTGTTTCATGCTTTCGAAACCGTTATTGCTCTTTCGGCTTCGTTTCCTGCGTCGTCTCCTGCACTCACAGCTTCGTCTCCTTCTCTCACGACTTCGTCTCTTTCCCTCACGGCTTCACCTCCAGTTTGCCTTTCAATTCTCATAAGAAGCCCTAATCCTATACTCGAATACGCGAACACGAATCGGCTGCGTCGTATTTACATATATACCAAAGAAAAAATTTCAAGGCGGTGCCTTGTACTGCCTCGAGGCGTTACGCTTTGATGCGTACGCCTCGTGCGAAAAAATTGTAGGCTTCGCTGTATGGTTCAAGGCGTAAGCCCCGATACGCATGCTTCCACCTCGACTTGAGGTGCGACTCAATGCGAAGGCCTCGTCCACTTTTTTAATGGTTGTTCCTAGGTATAACAAAACATACATGGATCATCGAGGGAGCTAAAAAATTACAATATTTTGGATTCATATGTAACTTTTTAGTTTGTAAAACTTAAAAATGGCTTTTCTAAGACGTTCCAACTATTCATGTGTTGTTATATATTAGAATATTATTATGGGCTCAAAAAATTTGCTCCCCAACCTCCCTATGCCTTTTTATTATTGACGAGGAGAGTTTTAATAGATGATGTTTTGAAATAAATTTTTGGAAGCAGATTGAATTTAAACATAAAACACAATCTAGAGATTTCACCCTCATTTGTGAGGATTTTATAATCTGAGGTTTAGTTTTCCATAGGTGTAAGTTCCCCTATTGTTAATTACTCCTAGTAACGAGAGAGAATGTGACCACTTTGAAACTGATTGCAATCAATCATTCTTCCGATATGTAATATCAATCATAGTACATGTAGTGTGGCTCACATCTACTCTCATCCTTCATGAAGACCAAATGAAGTTACATATAGCTTTAGTGTGTCAATTGTTACTGTCTTCATCAGTATGTCTGCATGATTCTTGGTTGTGTGAATTTTCTTCAATGATAACTGACCATCTTTCAGAAGTGATATGATGAAATGATACCGAAACTGGATGTGCTTTGTCCTAATATGGAATGCAGTGTTCTTGGCTAGATGAATAGTGCTCATATTGTTATTATGCAACTTCCCATTCCTTTTCCCTTTACTAAGTTCTGCCAATAAACTTTGCAATTATATCATCTCCTTGCTAGCCTTAGTGATAGCAATATACTAAAATTTTGTGGTTGAGAGTGCAACAATTTTTTATAACTTGGAAATTCAACTCACTGTAGTCTTTCCCAGAGTGAAGATATAACCAGTTGTGCTTCTCCTACCATCAAGATCTCCAACAAGATTGGAATCTATATATCCCTGTAAATCAATCCATGCATCTCCAAATTAAAGAGCTTTGTCAACTGATCCTCTCAAGTATATGAAAATCCACTTAACCTTCTCCCAAAGAAGTTTGCTTGGGTTATTCATAAATTTGCTATTACTCTCACTGCATATCATATATCTGGTCTCGTATGGATCATAACATACATCAATTCTACTATTGAAGTATACGAAGTCCTATCAATATGTTCTTGCTTTGCTTCAGATTTAGACGATTGTTCCGTAGATAGATGAAAAATGACTATCCAAATGAGTGCAAACTTGCTTTGTGTCACTCATGTTGAATCTTTGCAACACCTTTTCAAAATACTCAGCTTGAGACAACTTCAGTATACCCACACTTCTATCCATACTGATTCTCATATCGAGAATTTTCTCTGTTGTATCTAATCTTTTATTTCAAACTCTATGATAATTGTTCTTTTAGATATCTCATCTTCTCTATATTTGATCATGCAATTAGCATGTCATCCACATATAAATGCAGAATGATATAACAATTACCAAAATATTTGAAGAGACAATAATGATTTGTCTGGCACTTTGTGTACCCATTATCTAATATAAACTTATCAAATCTCCTGTATCACTATCTTGGTGTCTTCTTCAGCCCATATATGCTCTTTTTAAGCCTATACATTAGATCTTCTTTACCTTTGGCTACATATCCCCAAGGTTGCACCATGTATAACTCTTCTTCTAGGTCACCATGAAGAAAGTCTTTACATCCATCTACTCTAGATATAAATTCTCCACTACTGTTATGCTCAAGACAACTTTGAAGGTAGTCATCTTCACCATTGGAGATAAAGTTTTAGTGTAGTCCACTCATTTTCTTTGTTGAAAATCTTTAAGTATAAGCCTGACCTTGTAGTGCTTATTTTCATCAGGTTCTTCTTTCAGCTTATAATCTTACTTATTATGCAGTGCTTTCTTGCCATATGGTATCCTTGCCAAATCCGAAGTCTGATTCAACTCAAGTGAATGTATCTCATAATTTATAGTTTGCTCTCACTTTGAATCATAAACTTAAATGGCCTCATTATAGAACTCTGGTTCACCATCGTCTATTAGTAAAATAAATAGTATAAAGAACGAGAATACCTTTGTACTAGTTTTGAGATTATGCTAGATCAGTATCAGGTGTTTGAGGAACTCTCTGTGCTTCATTAGCTTGAGTACGCCTTCTGTTTTTGTTTTCTTGATCATCATTATGCTTTATCTCAACCTATTTGAAAAAAAATTATTCAGGAGTCTCAATTCTATTCTTGTACATTTCATTTTCATTGAATGTGATATCCTTGCTCTTGATGAATTTTTTATTATGATAGTTACAAAATTTATAGCCAAATTCATCTGAGCTATATCCAATGAATGTACACTTGATAGATTTTGGATCAAACTTACTCGTAGATCCTGCATTAACATGAATATATGATAAACAACCAAAATTTTTGAGGTTAGATAAACTTACCTCATTGTCACTCCAGGCTTCCTCAGGTAATCCCTTATTCAAAGGAATTGATGGTCCACGATTGATCAAATAAATAACAATATTCACTGTATCTGCCCAGAACTATTTGGGTAAACCAACATACAGCCTCATGCTCCTGACACGCTTAGTGATAGCTCCATTATGTGTTTTGCAATACCATTATGCTGGGTGTTCTTGGAACAGTGAACTCATGCTTCCCATTCAAAACACAATACTCAAATTTCTTATCACCATATTTGCCACCATTATCTGATTTGAGACATTTTAGTTTTAAACTTGTCTCATTCTCAACCATAGCCTTCCACTCGAAAATATTAAGCACTTCTAACTTGAGTTTTAAAAAAGTACACCCATACTTTTCTTCTGTGATCATCAATGAAAGTGACAAAATAGTAAGAACCTCTAATAAAAGAAAATGATGCAGGACCCCATACATTAGTATACATTAACTCCATCTTCTTTGAGTTTGTCTTTGAGTTAGTTTTTAAAAAGCTCACCTTTTGTTGCTTGTCATATATACAATCTTTACAAAAATATAGATTTATAGATTTTAAATTAGGAAGTTTTTTTCTAGTAAAAAGTGAATTCATGTTTTTATTACTCATATGGCCAAGTTTATGTGCCAAAGACATTCCATTAACATTTAAATCAGCTATTCTAATAGAATATGATATTTTATTGATAAAATATAAGGTGTCTTCAATACTACCACGGGTTATAACCATAGCCCCTTTTATCACCTTCCATGAATCTCCTATGAATGATGTCACATGGCCTAAGTTTGCAAGCTGACTCATAGAAACTAAATTTCTCTTCAAACAAGGAACATGCTTAACATATTTGAGTCTCTAAGTTGACCCATCAAGCATTTGATATCAATATCTCCCTATCCTACAATGTTATATGGCTTATTATCTGCTGAATATACATTTTACCGAAATCACCTTGTGTAGTTCTTGAATGCCTTCTTATTAAGACTTGTATGAAATGAAATACTTGAATCTATAAAACATGATTCAAAATTATCCAAAGAAAATAAGATAATTTGACTGAAACTTTTTTGTAGATACATTTGCAGAGTGAAATCATGTGAACCAAATAAATCAACCTAAAGCTATAAAATGCCTTTTTTTTGGCCATTGTTGCCCTTCTTGACCATCATGACTAGCTGCCTTCAAAATGGATATAACAAATAAAAAAGTATCAACTAGTTAAAGAAATTAACTATTAAAAAATACATAAACTACACAAAAATTATTGCTTGATGTGACACTTCCTACAAGAATAAACACAGATTTCTGCCCCTTATCACATTTTGGTTCCAAATTTGGACTTGAGGCTGATTTGATTGCTTGACGATAGAAAACTTGTTTTGTAAAAGAATGATTTCATTTTCAATCATTTTCTGTGCGAAAATGATTCCTAGTTGCATACAACCAAGTGATGGAATCTAGAAATTTCATTGTTTTACAAATCATGATATCTAACTTCAAGCAATTGGTCCCTTAGATGAGTTTATTTTGCTTGAAATGATAATAACAAATATATTTTACCTATGTGTTTGAATGCATCTGAAATTAGATGTCTAATGTAAGTATATTTTGTTGTTTTTCTTTAAGAGGATAACTATAAGTGAGATAAAGAAACATCCATGGTTCTTAAAGAACTTGCCAAGGGAGTTGACTGAAACAGCACAGGCAGTTTATTACAAGAGGGATAATAGTGCACCCACGTACTCATTACAGAGCGTTGAGGACATTATGAAGATTGTTAAGCAAGCGAGGAATCCACCTACCTCAATCACTCCAGTGCCAGCATGGGCTGAAGAAGAAGATGAGGAAGAGGAAATCAAAGATAATAAACCAGATGAAGAGGAGGAGGAAGAGGAAGATGAAGAGGATGAGTATGAGAAGCATGTCAAAGAAGTCCAGGCCAGTGGTGAATATGAAATCAGCTGATTGAAAGAACTTGGTGCATTCATTTTCTTTCTACTGTTTATTATGAACACTCTAGTATCGTCTTGTTGCTCTAGCCTCTCTCTTTTTTTTTTTTTCTCAATCGCTTCTTACCTTTTGTCAAAAAATATAATAATAATATATTTGCAGCATGAAGCTTCCTTTCTATTGCCCGTGTGTTTTTGATCATTTTTTGACGATGCATAAACAGATCAGTGATTCTAACTTAAACTTGAAACTTCAATATTTCATGAGATATACATGGGGAATATTTGACTGAGTACTGGGTTTCTGAAGATTGAGGATAAAGCTGTTACAGCAAGTGATAGATTGGTAAGTGAAAATGGGCTTTTATATTAAAACAAAGAACCGATTATTAATTGGCAGTTTGTCTGACGCCGTGTGGGGGTTTAATGACCGCTGAAACTTTTTTCTTCCCTACAGATATAGCAAATCACCTCCTCACCATCTCATCTTGAGAACAACAACAACAACAACATCAAGCCTTTATCCCACTACGTGGGGTCGGCTACATGAATCCTTTTTCTCCATTGTGTCCTATTAAAAGCCAAATTCTCGTTTAAATCTAATAAAGAAAGGTCATTCCCGGCAGTGTTACCATCTCATCTTGAGAACTTTGAAAATTTAAGAAACCAACCACTCTGCAACATGTTAACTACCTTATATGGATCCTGTTTTCTTTTTGAGTCGTGCATGTTGATCATAGGGAAGAAATAGGATGCGGTAGTGCCTTCTCAAACTTTCTTTTTTGCTACAGGATATAGCCAAGTCCTAAAAAGATGACTTTTGAATCCCTGACTTGCATTGAAAACTTTGCAAATTCAAGGGAACCAAATCTTGCAACATGTTAGCTATCATACATGGATCCTGTTCTCTTTTCGAGTCTTGCATGGTTATCATAAAGAAGGTTGATAGGAATCCGATCTTCATATAGCAAAAATAACAATAACGAAGAGAAAATGCAGCAGAAATTAACGAGAAAGAAAGAGATTATGAGTTAATTTTATTGATATTGGCACAACAAACCAGTATACTAGTTGATCTACTATTCGAGAGATAGACCGGCTCTCCACAAACCTTAGGCGTGCCCGTACTATTTCTCCATAGTACTTCTCCACATAGCAAAAATAGCAATAAAAAACCTAAGGAGTGCCCGTACTGTTTCTCCATCGTACTTCTCCACTAATGACACTGGTATGTTGTCAGGCCCATAATGTATCAGATGAGGTGCATCCCTCCCATATATGATTTTAAATGACATTGTTTGGGCTCTTGTATAATATGAAGTGTTATACCAATATTTCGCCCAGGCTAACCACTTGGCCTTTTACACCTCATTTTTGGTGCATCTGATAAAGAAACAAAGAGAAGTCTTCACACTACGATTCACAACCTCTGTCTGGCCATCTGTTTGGGGGTGGCAAGTTGTACTTTGTTTCAGGATAGTCCCTTGCTATTGAATAACTCCCTCCAGAAGTGGTTTAGAAAGATTTTGTCCCGATCGAACACAATAATCTTAGGTATGCCATGCAAACATACTACCTCTCTAATGAATGTCGCTGCCACCAACACCGCGGTGTATGGGTGGCATAAGGGAACGAAATGAGCATATTTGCTCAATTTGTTCACCACCACTAGAATCACAGTGAACCCTTCTGATCTAGGTAGTTCCTTAATGAAGTCTCTAGTCATTGCTTTGCACTCCTTAGGTAATGCTAAAGACTGTAGAAGACCACTTAGAACCATAGCTAGGTATTTGTGTCTCTGACACATATTACAACTGGCCATCAACTCCTCTATATTCTTCTGCATGCCCACATAGTATAGCTTTGCTGCCAATCTATGATATGTCTTTTGAACTTTTGAATGCCCCCCAATTGTTGTGCAATGAAACTCATGCAATAAGTGAGGGATGTGTAGCGACGTCCTCAAAAACACAAACCGTCCATGGTATAGCAACTTCCTACCTATCATAGAGTAACCAGGATGGCTATCCTTGTTTTGCAGTAAGTCTCCTCTGATCTTACCTAGCTCCTTATCCTGCTTACTCTCATGCTTCAAGGCCTCTCATTTCACCACCATGAGAACAGATAGAGCCATAACATGAGGGTCTTCACTATGCCTGGAGAAAGCATCTACATCCTTATCTTTAATCCCAGGCTTGTATTGGATTTCAAATTCATAACCCAACAACTTAGAAAACCATCATTGATACTCTTTTGTCACCATCCTATTATCTAACAAGAACTTCAAACTTCTTTGGTTAGTCATGATCATGAAGTGTAGCCCCAACAGATTTGGTTGTCACTTCTGTATTGTCAACATTATCGCCATTAGTTTCCTTTCATGCACTGATTTTAGCCTGGCCCTAGTGGTCAACATGGCTGAAATAAGCTATGGATCTCTGACTCTGCATGAGAACCGCTCCTAACCAATAGCCTAAAGCATCAGTCTCCACTACAAATGGTTGGTTGAAATTTGGTATCACTAACAGGGACACTCATCATGACTTTCTTCAACCAGCTGCTCAAACACCTGGGTGGCTATGCCCCAACCCCCCTCCACCCTTCCCTCCCCCCTCCCATTTGAAACTATAATTCTTTAGTTGCTCTATTAATGACCATGCTATAGAGATGTATCCCCTTACAAATTTTCTATAGTTCCCTGTGAGTCCCAAGAACCCCCTCAACTCCTTCAGGGTTTTGGGTAAGGATCATTCCAATATAAGCTTTTATCTTAAAAAGATTTGATGTTACTCTTGATTTGGAAACCACATTCCAAATACTCTACCCTTTGTTATGCAAAGGAACACTTCTTCAAATTAGCATATAGCTAATGCTCCTATCATCTCCTTCAATGTCACTAACATAACCCTCAAGTGCTCAACATGCTATGCCTCAGACCTACTATACACCAAAATATTATCGAAGAAAACCAATATAAACTTGCAAAGGTAGGGGGCTAGAATACCTTATTCATAAGCGACTAGAAGATAGCTGGGGCTTTGATAAGCCCAAAAGGAATCACTAAGAACTCATAATGGCTTTTGTGAGTCATGAAAGCAATTTTGTGGATGTCAGTCAGCCACATTCTGATCTAATGGTATCCCGATTTTAGATCAATCTTGGAGAACATCACTGCTCCATATAATTTATCCAATAACTCATAAATGACTGGTATAAGAAACTTATCAAACACCATTTCTTTATTCATAGCCCGATAATCTACATAAAATCTCCGACCACCATCATTCTTCTTCACCAATATCATAGGACTGTATAAAGGACTAACACTGGGACAAATGATTTGGGCCTCCAATATCTTTTTAATCAGTCTCCCAATTTTATTATGAACCTATGGGTATCAATAGGGTCGAACACTGATATGGGATACCCCTCAGTTTCTCAATTTCATCCTTCTAAACCTGTGGGTATCGGTAGGGTCAAACATTGATATGGGATACCCCCTCCTTTAGGATGTTGGCATGCTCGTGGTCCCTTAGGGGAGGTAGTGTTTGAGGCAGCTAGAACACCTCATTGAAGTGTTGCAGGACTGGCTAGAATATCTTTGAAACCTCCTCACCTTTCTCCATGCTTCCCCCTCCCTTGAGGCTCTGGAGCTTCACCAAGAATCTCATTCTTATTCCTTGGATTGCCCTCACCATTGTCTTAAGAGAAACCCTGGTTTTGGACATATTATTATCCCCATTGATCCTCACCTTCCTCCCTCCCACCATGAATTTCATAGTCAATGCCTTCTAGTCCACCTTGGTCTCCCTAAGAGTTTGTAACCACTTCATGCCCAAAATTATATCCGTGCTTCCTAACTCTAGGGGAAGAAAATCCTCCCTCACTTGGATCTCTTGTAGTGTTACAATCAATTCTGGGTAGATGCCTCTACTTTTCTTCACCTTCCCCGTTCTTATCATCACCCCAAAATAATCGTGTCGATCAACTGCAGCCCCAGCGGTCCACCTCTCACCTGGGTAGAGATGAAATTGTGGGTCACCCCACTGTCCACCATAACTCTCACTGATTCTCCTTACCTATCCCCTCACCTTCATGGTGTAATTTGAGATAAACCCCACCGCTGAGTTTAGGGAGACCTCTATCACATCTAAGTGCAAATGCTTATCCTCCTCAACCACCTCCTCGAGAGTATCCCCTTCCTCTTCACAAACTATAAGTACCTACAGCGAATGGTCCCTACAATGGTGACCCTGTGCAAACTTCTCATCACAATAGAAACATAGTCCATTAGCTCGCTTCTCCTGAACCTTTGCCTCAGTCAACTACTTGAAATTTCACCGGGCAGTGCTCCCATTCCCTATCCTTGGCTACTTCTCTTTGAATGGGAACAGGTTATACCTTTGGTACCAAAAAAATAGTTGTTGTCTGGTATGAAGTCCCCATACTGTTTCCCTTACTGCTTCTCTCAAGTGAGTTTTTGTCATCCACCAATTGGGCTAGCTCCATAACCTCCCCCAACTCTCGAGGCCTCAATAACCGGACATCCATCCTAATCTCTGGCTTGAACTCCTTTATGAAATTTCTCTCTAACGCTGTCTTAGATAGCCTAAAAAATCAGCTAGAAAGGTACTTAAACCTCTCCCCATAATTCATCACTATCCCTTCATGAACTAGAGCAAAGAATTTCTCATAGAAGTATCCTTTATGACTGGTTGAAAGAACTATTTTTGAACTCCCTCCACGATCAGATTGGATTTTTCATGTCTCTCCATTAATATCAAGACAAGGCCTTCCCCTCCAAGCATAGAGCCACCATCGTGAGTCTCTCCTCCTTTGCTAGCCCATTCACGTAAAAGTACCTCTCCACCCTATATATTCACCCATAATCTTCTTCTCCCCCCTAAAAAACGGGCATCTTCAACTTTCTTACTCTTGGATCCCCTCTGCCCCAACTTTCTCTTCTACCTCTGGCTCCTCCCATATGGCGATTGTTGTGATCTCTTCATTGTCTCTCCCATCCTTCCACCTTTCATAGATATCATCTTCCTCAAAATCAGTCGTCCTCATTTCTTCCTCCCAATTTCTCCTCATTCCATATCCTTCACCCATTTTCTTCTTGGTTATAGGTTCAAGAGGTAGCATATTTTCCCAGTTGCCCAAGATTTCTACCTCTTAATCAACCTCCCTTGTGCCGATATTGGAGTTTCCCCCACTTCCTTGGCCACTCGCCAATGCTCTTGCCTTCGATATTGGCGGTTGGGTGTGAAGCTCCAATATTTTATTCATCATTTCCTCTAGGTTAGAAAACCTTCTTTCCATGGATGACATCAGTTACTCAATTTTAGATTTGAGTTGAACTTCCACTTCTAGTTTTTCTTCCAAATAATTCACTTTCTTCTACGCCATAGGTCTCAAATCATGCTCTTAGACCAATTTGATTGGAATTTGATCTCCACACAGCAAAAATAACAATAGCGACGAGAAAACACAACTGAAATCATCGAGAAAGAAGAGACTATTGGCCAATTTTATTGATATAAGCACAACAAACCATGATTCAAGTTGATCTACTATTCAAGAGGTAGATTTGCTCTCCACAAACCCTAGGGGTCACTAAGACCAACTCTAAAGAAAAAAGTACAACAAACACACAAATCATATAATGAAAATCAAATAACCTAATTTGCCCTATATTATATTTTCTAATTCCCTCCCATATCTGAATTCAAATCAACCATCTTTCCTTAAATAAAATTTTCTTAATTCCCTCCCAAATCTTAATTCAAATTAGTCCCTCTTTCCCTAAATCAACTTTCCTAATTCCCTCTCAATTTTGGTTTCCTATTTCAAGTAATTAAAGGTGAAATTATTCCCCTTTGGATCCCCTCTTTTCTTGCCCGTTGTCCATCCTAGTGGGACCCTAATCCTCCGCCGGTTCATCAAAGATTTAAAACAATTTATGGAGATGCCATTGAACTAGAATATAAGTCATTTTGCGCCTCCTTGGTTCCACCACTATTTGAGATACCTTACATATAACATTTGCTTTCATTTGATATATGAGAATATATATATATATATATATATATATATATATATGATATATATATATATATATATATACACACACACACACATAAATACACATATACTCGGTCCATAGATCTATACTAAGGCTGTGTTATATTAGAGTGGAGAAGAGCTGTTGGAATTCGTGAAAAAAGAGATGAAATTGTTACATGTGATTTACATAAATGATTTTGAGCACTGATCAATGCATGGATAAGCAGATTGATGCATGATGAGAAAAAGCTAACATCAAAGGTGCCAACCTTGCTTGATATTGAAAGGGTTCACATAAAGGATGGGGGATGAGATTTTTCAATTTCCAAAGAGAATTACCCTACACCTCCTTAATTCCATCACTAGTTGAGGAGATTTCTTAGATAACATTTGCTTCATTTGATGCTATATTTGTCTTGCTTCGTAATGGAGACCATATATATTACATTAAAACTGAAAAGAGCTATTGGAGTCCTTGAATAAAGAGATGAAATTGTTTCATGTGGTTTGCACAGATAATTTTGAGCACTAGTCAATATATGAATATGCAGACTAATGTGTAGGGCTGCAAATGAACCGAGTCGATAATGCGTTCATATTTGAGTTTATTAATTTTTTGTTTTTGTTTTTACTTGTTTGAGTTCATGTATTATCAGCTTGTTCAAGTTTGGTTCGTGTTTGATTTTAGTCTTATTGTTTTTGTTCATGTTTGGTTGTTTAAATTAATGAGTGTTCATGTTCAGTTTGTTTAGTTCTTATCAAGCTTTAAACAAACAAGCTTTAATGAGCTATAAACGAGCTATACTTTAAATGTTCATTAACTTAACAAACGAACTTTATCGAGCCTCCTAACAAACAATTACATCGAGCATGTTTGTAAACATATTTCACTAATTTTTTTAAACTATCAAGCAAACACGTTCATGAACATACCTAACGAGTATTCTTGAGCTATCAAATGAGCAAGTTCATGAACACATATAACTAGTTTTTTCGAGCTACCAAATAAGCTCGTTCACGAACAAGTGATCTAGATTCATCTTATATTTGTTCATGAACATTTTAAAAAAATAATCTAGCAAACAAGGACAAATGTGAAATGTCTCTTGTTCATGAACAAATTCATTATATTGAAGGTATAAAATAAAATGAAATTAAATTTATAATAAAACTAGTTGTCTATGCAAAATGAAGATAAGATTAATCCATATGAATATATTTTCAAATGAAGCTTATATGTTGCATTTCTCTCAATTTGGTACAACAATTGAAAGATTATCTTTTGCGTTCATAGAAATACTTCAATGGTTATGTTAGAACTATAAAAACAAACTATCTAAACAAATACATCATATAAAAAACACTATCAAAACAAACACTTCATATAAAATAAAGCATGTTGATATTTAGTGTTTAATGAAATTCAAACCAATAAGATAATAGAAGTGGAGTGCATATATTTCTGTTAGAACTACAAAAATAAATCAAGTATAATATACTAAAACTTTCTCTTAAATAAAACAGCTATATCGGTCAAAACTACAAAAATACAGTAGGTCAGCAAACAAAACTACAACAGTTTTCTTCAAAAAAGAATAGTCTGCTCCTTATCAAACCAATGAGATTTCCTTTGTTTCCTCCCTAGTCTGCAAGATGTAATATAGTAAATTAGTAATTGTAAGAAAAATTTTCACCAACTAGCAATTCAAAATAATAAATGTTTCTCCTTATCATTCATTGAATTTTCTCTTTATACCATATAAATTATCATATCAATTACTTCCACAAATAAGATGTTGCATTATATCTGTACCCAATGATGATCTATATTGATCAATAACTCTTCCACCGGCACTGAATGTGGCTTCTGAAGCAACTGTTCTAATTGGAATTGAAAGAATGTCACAAGCCATCCTTGATAAAATACGATATTTTAGATCATTAGCCTTCCAACATTCTAAGCAATCAAAATGTAATACTGAATTTTCTTCCTCAATGAAACTCCATCATCCAAATATACTTTAAGCTTAGAATTTACTCCTTGAATAGTATAATATATTCTTATATAAGTTTCATATTTTCTCTTTCCATAAATAGGTCTGCCTCTAATAGAAGATGAACTTAGATAATTACTACTTGTTTCAACTTCAACTGCAATCTTCTCAGCATTTGTGATTTTATAATCTTCTACGTACTCATTATAAAGTTAGTACATCGGTGATGTGCATTTGTGCTATGTCTTCAGTATACATATAGTTGAAAGCAAAGCTTACCATTTTCATTTATTTCTTGGGTGTAAAATTGTACCTAATGAGATTAGAAGATTACAACCACCTCAATATTTATCAATTTTTTCTATCATTTTTCTTGCCATGTTTCTAATATGTGCATTTCCATGTAAATAATTATCATCTAACATCTCCTTTATTCCCCAGATTTCAGACATGTATATGTTAGATGTGGGATACTTGGTACCTAACATATAAAAGAAAACTTTTTAATGTATTATTAGATTGGGAAAATACAAAATAATATTAAATTAACATTCAGATGCATATATACCTGAAATCAATTCAGTAGTTTGCTTAAATACTTCAAGAAATGAGCATACATCTTACAACTTTCTCCATTTCTCCTCAGCAGGATAGGTAGAATAGCATGAATCCCTATTTTGAAATCAAGTTAGCATATATTATAATATTTAATTACTTTAAATTTTAATATTTAACAATAATTATATCATCATATTAGAATAAATACAAAATATTTATATTATGTATATTTATCAATTTTATAATCAAATATTAATTGAGTTTTTATCGAGCTTATTCACGAGTTCTGAATCAAACACGAATCGAGCTTAATGTCGAGCTGTTCACGAGCTTTAAATGATGTTGTTTACGAACACAAATGAGCCGAATATATTAGTGTTCAAGCTTGTTTATTTATGGATCGAGTATTTAAAATGTTGTTTAAGTTTGTTTGTTTAGTTAATTAAACGATCAAACAAGCTTTAATTGAACCGAGCAACGAGTAGCTCATCTAACGTTTGGTTCGCTTACAGCCCTACTAATGTGTGATGAGAGAAAGCTAACATCAAAGGTGCAAACCTTGCTTGATATTGAAAGGGTTCACATAAAGGAAGGGGATGCACTTCAATGTGGTTTTCTAATTTCTGGGAAAATAAGTTACATTTGATTTGTTCTTGCTATTGCAATTTAGTTATTGTGTAGCAAGAGATATATTGAGAAAGAAATAATATTACTCTCTAAAAAAAATTTGACATAAAAATTGACGCTGCTTAAGCATTTTCTTCACATTTGTTACTTTTTGTAGTGAAGAAATCAAGTTGTAGACAGTTCGAAGCCACACCTTCCTATCAAGGTCCTAGAAGCAGCACAGCAAATGCTCAAAACCAGAAATTCTTTCTAAAGAAACGAAAGATTGTTCGTCTTAACAGAGCATGACAAAATTATATAAATCTTGATATGTTCCACTTGTAACAAAACTCATTTAGATGTGCGTTGCTTATGGATGTTGTGGTCAATAACAATGGCATTCTAGTTGATCAGATCTTTCATGACCTTGATGGCTATGTGGCTGAGATTTACGTTTATGACAATCTCTGAAACTTTCTCACTAGAAAATCTTACATCATAGAAGTACACTACCAAATTTGATAGTTCTTTTTCTAGTAAAACATCGCTACATTACATGATAGAAACATAACTTATCATTGATAAGCATACTAAAATCAACTTAATCATAGTACTCAACATGTTTCTATTGCCATTGTACCATAAACATAGCATAGACATTACGACTGCATCTTCTGTTTCCTTCAAATCCATTCACCTTAGTATCTATGAACATTGCAAGCACTTAGTAGCTATAGTTCTTCACATACATCCCCTTTTTGGACTCAGCCGACTCATCCTCACCAGTGTACTTCCCAAGTTGTGCGAGCGAGTTGGCTTGGGCTCGAATGAGTAGCGTATCCTGTGCTGCCTTCACGTTCTCCGGTCTCCCTGCCCAGGTCTTTAAGCATGTGTTCTGCAGTGCTCTAGCGTAGGAGAATGAGACATGCCATGGGTTTTTTCTCTGGTTCATTGCATTCAAGTTCTGAGTTGCTTCTACTTCAGATTGTCCACCAGAAAGGAACTGTTCCATTGAGAACACAAACAAGATTGCAGTGATTGATTCAATATGTTATTAATAAAAATAAGCTCTGAGACAATATGTACTTCGACGTGCCTTGTTTTTATAGAAGGCTAAAGCTGATACTATTCGTTAAAAAACTCACCATAATTCCAGGAACAGCTGGTGGAATTCTTCTATGAAGAAGCTTAAGAGTGTAATCTGCAACTTGCTCAGCTGTAGCCTTCTCCTTGCTCTCAGCCCCTGGCGTTACCATGCTCGGTTTCAGAAGGATTCCTTCGAATAACACATTATTTTCAGCCAAATAGAAGAAGACCTCAGCCCATACTTTTAGCGCAACCTCGAAGGTTTTATCAATGCTATGCTCTCCATCCAAAAGAATCTCAGGTTCCACAATTGGAACAAGGCCATTGTCCTGCATTGTTAATATTAAAAAGGATGTGTAGTTAATAAAGGAATCAACAAGGAATGAAGCTTACTTGAGCAATCGCCGCATATCGAGCAAGGCCCCAGGCTGCTTCCTTTACTGCAAGTGCTGATGGGCCGTTAGGGATGCTAACCACTGTGCGCCTGTAAAAATAGTAGATTAAAATGGTTTGAAGTGTTTGCAGAGATTTGGACTAAGGTGAAGGTTGGTGTTAAGTAGATTTAACCATTTGGCGAATCGAGCTCCTTGTTGATAGTATGCGGCGCACCGTGAAGCCAGACCATCCAATCCTTGGCACCAGGACTCGTCATTGGACCCCGCTAGTGGAACAAGACCCTGTTCATTACCATATAACAAAACTTAGTTCATAAATTTTATTCTTAAGTTATTAGCCTTGATTTTATGCACAAAATTGTCTTTTGTTGAAAAACCAAGATATATAGGTGAATAACCAAGTTTTTTTCACAATATATTCTTGTATTATTTTGTTTTCTTTTGCTAATTGTTTCAAGTTTTTAGTTTATGTGAACCTGGGGATCAGAATATGGGTGATTATACTGGACTTCTTATCTCTGAAATCTGAATGTATTTTATAGTGTTTTAAAGCGAATGTTGTCTGAAGAATACAATTGATAAAAAATATTAGGTAGGTGTTAGTTTTGGAGCTAACTATGAAGAGAATGAGACATTAGAGAGAAAACGAATGTCAGAGAATGGAGAAATTAATCTGTGCGTCATCGGACGGTTCGGAGGCAAATCAGAATGCGCAACGTCACCCAGTACACAGTGATACACAGCTAAAAAGTGATGTGGTGCGTTGCGATTCGCCTCTGGATAGCATCTGGTGGTATAATTTCACCAGAGAAAGATCGAATGTTTCTATCAATCTCTCTTCCATTTATCATCTCTCTTCGTCTTTGATTACACACAAATATATATTGTGAAGATCAATAAATTAGAACATATGAACGATTCCGATAAAGAAAAAATGGTGAAGGAGCTGTTTGCTTACCTTATCAACCTTGATGCCTGGCACAATATTCTGAGAAACAAGAACATCGATTATCTTCTTTCCATCTGTTGTTGATTGATAGAGAGTCTCCTCAAAGAGAATTGCGCCGGAAATATACTGTCCCAGACCAGGAGCTGAGACTAGAAGGGTCCTGTAAGCCTGCCTGTTGGCTTCAGTGTTCTCCAGCCCGATAGAAGCGAGACGTTTCCCACAAGTAGCATTAGATTCATCCATGGCCAGGATTCCCCTTCCAGGTGAAGCAACAGTTTTCTGCAACAAAGAATTCCATAAACACGGTCTGTCTTCAGTTTTGACTTTTAGCTTTGAGATACTTGCAACATTAAATGCTTATTGCTGTTCATGTTATTCTTATTGCTTAGTAGTAGTTGACCGTTTATTGTATATTCTGAATTTAAAATTAGGCTGCATGTCCCTGTGATCAAATTTTCTTTCAACTTAGTAGGCCCTTTAACGATCAAAATTTGGATTGTTCAACATCCCACTCGTGTGTTAGTTGGATAAGATTAGAAATTGAAACACCCATTTTCATTATGTGAGTTGTGATGAATTGAATTTTTTATTTTATTTGAATACCTCTTTTTTTTTTTACGAGTAACAACGATGAGAAAAGTGAAATTTTTGTTTTGGGCAAATCCGACTCACTAGGATTCTCAAATCTTTTTCCAACCAGTGCGCTAAGCATTTGAGCGCACAAAAAAGTTGAAGAAGTAGATTGCTATTTAGGCTGATTAATTATTCTGTGCGGATACTAAATGTAGTCCGGAGACCAACCAGAATGCACCATATCACCCCATGTGCTGGGTACCATGGCTTGGTACTGCTTAGTACCGATGATGTGGCGCATTATGGTTGGTCTCCGGATGGCGTTCTACGTCCGGTATCCGCACATAATCATTTCTCATTTAGGCATCATTTGGTTGCTTCTATGTTTTGTATGCGTGAATGAAATAATTTTAGAGGATTTTCACAGTCAGGAAACCCAATAATTTCTAACTAAAAAAAAAAAAAGAAGAATGTAATGAATTCAATATTTCTTTATGCCATGGTCCGAATGAACTACTCATTGAATCTGATTTTGATTCAGATAGATTTAAGACCTGGCCCATGGACAAGTTCAGAACTAACTACAACAACAACAGAGCTTAAACATTCAAATCAAAAGCCCAAATTATCAGCTTACAAAAGATGATGAAACTACTGGAGGAAACCCTATCTGCTAGCATTTCCATCTTCCAAATTAATATGAACCCTAACCTGTAGTCTTTCCCCTCTCACCTTTCTCATTTTTTGGAAGAAAATGTGAAAAAGGTTTTCGATCTTGCAGTTCTTGTGAACTGATGGAATTTTCATCTTTGCTCAATTACTACATGAAAAAGAAGAAAAGAGTATCAGTAAAGCTAGCTTACAGCAGTCTTGACGAGTTCATCAGCATATGAGCCTGCACGGACGGTGAAGCACACAGCAGCAGGCTGGCGACTAGTCGGTGACCGACTGGTGGCAGCCCATTCTGATCTCTTTGGCAGAAATGAAGACTTGAGAATGGTAGCAGACGCCATTGACGATGTTGAAGAACAAGAAACAAGAGAGAAGGTTAGTTTTTTCTTTCTTTCAGCTTCTCTCTCTCTAATGCTCTCAAATTTTATGCAGGGAAGTTTGAGTGATATAAGGTGGAGGGAAATTGAAAGCAGGATATGAATTGTGAGGTGGAGATTGGGTTGTGGATTTAATGGCGGAGATGGTGTTGAAGGTTGCGGTGATAAGCTGGGCGAAGAGCCCGCCTCTAGTTTGTGTTGGGGCCAATCCATTTTCTTCTTGTTTTTCTTTGAATAATTTGGCCTTTTGCTTTGTCTTCTTCTTCTTTGAGAAATCCATTGTTAGTTTTAACATTTTGGTTCTAAAGGTTAGATTATTTATGGGAGGTTAGAAGTTCAATTTAGGTCTGTTTGGGGCATCTTTTTGACTATTTTGCTTTTCATAAAGTAACCACATTTTTATTTGGATAATGATTTTCTTAAATTTTTAGGATAGAAAGCTAATTTCTGTAATCATAGTGGCAAATTTTCTTTGTCTATAGTAACTTCACAATCAATTTTATAAAAAATTGCAGCCATTGCAAACATATCATTTGTCACTTGATTTTTTAAAATTTGTTCCAAAATAATTTCTCGATTAAAAAAAATCATTAAAAATAATCCAACAGAAAACTTATTTTGGATCATATTTGAAGGTTGAGGTTAGTGGTGCGAATGAGCCGAGTCGAGCTCGAGTCAGGCCTAACTCGAGCCTGACTCGCTAGTCCAATCCTAAGCTCGAACTTGAGTCGAGCTCGACTTGTGCAAGTGACCCGAGCTCGACAAGCGGCTTGTGAGCTCGTTAACGTGGTCCATCTTCTGCGGTTGCACTTTGCCGATCTGTCTGCTGCGATCACACACGTCTGTGGTTCACACGCTTCTGCGGTTGGATGTGCCTGTGCTTCTGAGCTTTGCCCTACTTCCATGCTTCACCCGCGGTCCCCGCAGTTCGTCTTCCGCGGCTCGCCCACACTAATTGAGCCGCTCACGAGTACTCGAGTTGAGCATACTTAAGATTGAACTCAAAGCTCGATAAGCCAACTCGCTCCAAATCTTGCTTAAGCTCGAGCCCGAAGCTCGATAAGCTCAGCTTGCGAGCTCGTTAAAGAGTAGAGTCAGCTTGACTTGATTGCACCCCTAGTTAAGGGATTAATGGTCCCTTTGGGACAACAATAGTTTTTTTTAAAAGGTGGTGGTAAAGCTGAGGCAAAGAAAATACTTTTTTTTTTTAACTATTGTAGAAAAATACTTTCTAGTACAATTTTTTTTTTTTTTTTAAGTTATGAAAAAGTATTGGCCAAATAAAAACTGATGTTATAGTTTAGAATATAAAATAATAAAAAAGTTGTCTTAAACGAAGCTTAAATTGAATATATTAGATAGTTGAGGCAGTGAATAGCTATTTTGATTATTCATGGCCGTTATTAAAATAGGACGTGTGCTTGATTTGCAATTTGAGGCTTGGATTAGTGACTGAGAAGATAAAGTATAAAGTTGTGGTTCTCAAGTGGTCTACTTAACGGGCAAGGTTTTGTCAAAGACCGAATCAAATCTACTTCACTAAGATTTCGTTTGGACGGTTTTCTTTCCATTTCTTAAAGCAGCTTTTTAGTACAAAAATTTTAATTTTGATACTAAGAAGTTGCTTTAAGAAGCAACAAGAAAGCCGTCCCAAACGAAGCCTAAATTTGATTTGAGCGCAACATTCAGCCAAGCCAAGCTCAATGTTGACTAATGTATTTGAGTCAATTTTGAAGTAGAGTCTCAATTCCATTGGATCATTAACAGATGGTTTGATTATATTGAACGTAAATACATCTAATGATTTATAAGTCATAGAAGTGAATTAAGTAATTTCTTAAATTTGTAAGTGCAATTAGCCTTTGGAGCTAAATGAATTTTTTTTTATGATAATATACTTAAAAATATTTTTAAAGTTATTAAAATTATTTTAAAATGAATATAGTTTATATAATTTTCTTACACTCATATTAAATTAAGATTTTATTTGGGATAACTTTCTTACTGCTTTCTAAAATAATTTTTTAGTATAAAAATTTTTTATTCAAAAAACTTTTTAATCAAAAGCTCAAATGAAAACTGTTTCAAAAAAAGCTTAATTTAGTATAAAAATTTTTAATTCAAAAAATTTTTTAAAGCTCAAATGAAAACTGTTTCAAAAAAAGCTTAAATCTAAAACCTTATAAAAAATTCATCTGAATATTCTTAGTTTTTCGTGCTATTAAAAAAAGAAAAAAAGAAAAAATGAGGATTTCCTTTTAAATTAATGTCTAAAGTACAAAAAAAAAAACTATAAGATATTAGTGAAAACATAAAAATATTTATATAAAAGCTAGAAATTAATTGTTTTTGTATTAACACACAAATTTATTTATTTTTTTCCTGCCATAAAACTATAGTGTCGTATATATTCTATTTGTTTTAAACTCGTATTATAAATTTTCATCGATATTTTTTAAGGGGACCATATTAAAGAACACTTACACAATCATTGCATGCAAATCTATTAATTTTTTAAGAGCACCATATTTAGCATTACTCGTAAATTTCTTCTAATTTTAAGTGAATAAATCGTTACTTTGATTTCATATTTGGATGATTTTTTTAATTATTTTTTAAATCAACTTTATAATACAAAAAATGACTTTCTAATAAAAAAAATTAATTTTTTTACTTAAAAAGCTGATTTAAAAAGCAGCAAGAAAGTCATCTCAAATAAAATTTTTTCCTCATATAAATTTCCTTTTAATATAAAATTTTTCATTCCAACTTTCTCAATTTTATTTCATTTTACCGGTTACATCACCATTGAATCAATGATGTCACTTTTGTATTAAAAAAAAAAAAAAAAACTCAAAAATCTACTTCATTCAACCTGAATTTCAGCTCAAGTGAATTTCAGCTCAAGTAAGAATATAGAGCAGCTGAACTTTTGGCAACTTGGCTCTTCTAACAAGCCTTAGAAAATAATGAGTTAATCATTACCGCTCTACATACTTTTCTAACAGCAACCTTACGTGCCATTAAACAATACGCTACATACATTTAAAACAGTTCTTGTCCTTATACGCAAAGCATTTACAGCATTTCATCTATCTTGAAGAAGGCTTTATCAATATTTTGAATCTCTGTAGTGATAGATGCTTTTCTCCTCAGCGTTAATGGCTATTCTTTAATCGTCGGCTCCGACTCCACTCCAGAACTAATGGATTGTAGCAATCAGGGAGATTTCTGGTGCTTGTAACATTGAGGAAGCCATGATTGCAGACTAAGTATATCTTGCAGTCTTCGTCGCTGTCTCCATCTGCTATGACCGACCAAATGAGAAAAGTTTCTAAATGCAAGTCTCAAGCTATTTCCAAGATTAGCGTTCATGATAACTGTTGCGTCTTGAAAAATTCGCGACGGTAAAGAGTGATATAGTTTATCGTCTTAGCTTTGTACGAAGATCCAGCACACAAACAGATAAGAGTGGTTATAGCGTTTATAAGGGACACCATAATTTTCACGTGAAAATCCTTGAAAAAGGAGAAAAATCATAGGGCCTAGCCCAGTTTGAATGAATCCACTAATGATTGCAATTGATTACAAATGAGACCCTTCTTTAGAAGGAAGGTCTTAGCTCGATGTAGCAAATATACATCATATGGAGTGCACTACATGGTGGGAATAGGAAGAATCATAATTGACGTGTTTATTTGATCGAAAGGATCATAGTCGGTGGACGACGGAGGTTCGAAAGACCATTGTCTTGCGATGGAGGTAAAAAAAATTGCAATTGTCGGGAGACAACGGTATGAAGGAACTTCGATGGTAATCGAAGAAAGGGCAGAAGTCCGACGGTGGTTGACGAATAGGTGGAAGTCTGGCGGTTGTGTGCTAGAACTTCATACAAAACTATGACGTTAAACTATATATATTTTTCTACCGCCACGAATATTCCAAAACACTACAATAATTAAGAGACAAATGAAAAATAAATACCGGTAGAACTAGTGCTTGAATGTAATTTTGATAAGATTTTTTTTCTGAATCAAGCTCCTTGAGGTAACTCATTAAGAGTTAATTGTTGCGACTCATTGCTCACGAGTTTATATTTTTTGATGATAACAAATATTATGACTCACATCTTTATGTTTCATAGTATTTTTCATTATATATTTGTTTTGTGTGTATACTAACATTTTAGGAAAATCATACTCCAATTTGTTGAAGACTTCAAATAAAAATAGATTAGGGTTCATTGTAAATGGAGTCTGTATTTTTTATTTTATTGAGTCTGAGAGAGTGTGATTGTAATTGAGTAACTGTGCACACACACACACAAGAGGAGTGTTTAACATTTGCAGAATTTTTAAACTGATCGTAATGTATGAATTCATTTCGTACGGGATGATTTGTTCAGTTATAAACTCCTACGAGCAGTTGGATGAACGTCTCGGGTCTATTCTCGCACGAATTTTTTTTTCTAAGTATGGATCATACGGGACGATCCCAGTTTTGTACAAGGATGAACGTCTCGGGTCCGTTCTGGCACAAAATTTTTTTTCTAAGTATGGATCTCACAGGATGATCATAATTTTGTACAAGGACGAACGTCTCGGGTCTGTTCTCGCTCATTTCGTCCTAACATTTCATACAGATGAAATTTGAAAATTTTCATACTGTTCGTACTGGACGAACTTAGTTCGTACGGGACACTATGCATTCGTACGAACGATTCATACGAGACACTACGTGTTCATACGGGGACACTATGCATTTGTATGGGAGATTCGTACGGGACATTGTGTGTTTGTACGGGGACACTATGCATTCATACGGGCAATTCATACGGGACACTATTCATTCGCACGGGATGATATTCGATTGTACAGTACGATCGTAGGACAAATTTCTTGTAAATTTAAATTTTTGGACGATTTTTTTTCATGTCTTTTCTATATAAGAAATCCTAAAAACTGTTAGAAATCACCTTTATTGTGAATTTCTCTTGAGAGTGGTCATTGAGTGTGAGTCTTTGGGAGAGATTGTGAGAGTGAAGTGTGAGAGATCAAG